AAGTTAATCAAAACGACGATAAACTCGGTTGACATTTCAAGATATAGAAAATGTATTCAACGGATGTTTCAAGAGCTCCTGCTCTCTTCTTCAACGTTTTAACCGACTGAACATAAAATCAAAGTATTTGTTTAATAAAGGTCATTGAATGTATAGCCAATTAAAATGACAAGATCTTTGTTAAGGCTTGTTTATGACCATTTATTGACCGTTATTCGACAATACAGCTAAAGTTTATAGTCCGCTTTGCTATTGTTAAATTGTTATAACATGGAGGAATTAGTTTAATTTAACTAATTCCTTCATGGTACAGTATATAATACTTTGATTTTATGTTCAGTACGGTTTACAGTTTACACTGAAGAGAGGATAATCCAATAAACTGATTGTATGTTTTACTCGGTTCTGGTTGGTTAATACAATTTTTTATACTATATTATGTATATTTATTTATTTATTTATTCAAGACTCAACAGTGTATCAAAAACACCAATAACAGAGTCGCCATAAAAATATACAAATCATTCATAAAAATATATAAAATTAAAAAAAACAAAAAAAAACATAAAAAGCATAAAAAAATCGTAATAATATATTAAAAACCGGTATTTAGTATAAGATTAAAAATAGAAATATTACAATTCAAAATATCAATATTAGGAAAAATTTGAACTAGATTATTATAAGAAAGTGCAACACGACGAAAAATACCATTAGTACAAACATTAACACGAGAGTACGGAACTTTTAACAAATGATTGGTACGAAGCCTGCGCACAGGAACATGAAAATGTATGTTAGATCTTCCAAGTTGATAAAGAGAGCAAGGGCTATAAGAATATCCGTTTTATTTTATTATATTTTAATAAATGTGTGTTCCGCAAGTCAACATTCAATGATTGTACATCGTCTTCTAATTGTTTTTACATTTTGTATATACTGTATATAGGTGTACATCGGAATAATACCCATGTGCCTATACAAAATGTATGTGTATCAGTTTCATATAAATGTATTTATGTACATTACAGGACACATTGAGACTGCTTTAATTGAGCGCCTGTTAGATCGTTTTCCTGACATTGAAAACACAGTCGTTGAACCCAGCGAAGATGCTGTTACCGAATATAAGAGATTAGTTAATGGAAAGTTCGAAAACGTGGAATACACCTGGTTAAACATGACTTTCGAACAATTTTGCGACCAACTTCAAGCGACTGAAAATAAAAAGAAATTCCACCACATCAGTGCGATAGATTGTATGTATCACCTCGACAACTTCAGTGACGCTCTCACATTCTTGTATGACAAATTGGAGGAAGGAGGAATAATGCTAATTGCTATTTGTTCTGGTAAGCGCATAGGCACGTTCATTCAAGCACAGACCTACTTTAACATTTGACAACAGTAGAGTCATAGCAAGTAGGGCATATGGCATCAGTGGCGTAGAAAACACTATTTTTCATTTGGGGGGGGGGGGTGGGGATGATTGGCGTGTTAGCGCCAATGTGTGCGCTTGTGCGGACAGGAGATGTGCCCCCCCCCCTCTCTGAAGCTGGAAACCTTGTTTTTGCAAAATAAATTGGTGCAAGTTGATGAATACTTTTAGCGAAATTTTGATCTAAAATGAAAATAAAATTTACCGTTAACAATATGGCATATCTGTGTGAGATATTCACAACGCTTCCTTGTTGAATGCCATGAGGGAGGTCATTGATGTGGAGCAAAAAGGGAAGTGGAAGAATAAGTACCGTAAATATTTTATAGTATTTTATTGACTTTCTTCATTTTTACACTTTTATTATAATAAATACATTCGCTCATGAACGATAAACCTCTTGGTGCCTATTTTTGTTGTTGTTTTTATTACCACTGGTATTAACATGGTTTTGTAAAATATTAAATATAATAATAAAAATAATGAGTATTTATATGCGCTATTCACATAACTGCTTAAATGAAATGGCCAAACTTGTTTTTACGAGTTTCTGATCGAGAAACAAATTCTTTGGCCAGTTTCATAATGTCAATGTCATCCAACATTGACTTGTGGATGTTGGCCACTGCACAAGAGTTTAGCCTCCTTTGCATCATGTTGTTTCTCAACCAGGTCTTGAGTCGCTTTAATGTTGAGAAGCTGCGTTCACACTCGCATGAGGTAACTGGACAGACCAGCATTAACAAGGAGTGATAACACCTTTGGAATGTCGTACACACCCTTCAGTGTGAAAATGTGGCTTGCTTTGCAAGCACATCTAACATATGAGGAAAGAAGAGCTTAGATTGATACCAGATCAAATAATTTTGTTATCAACATTAATACATTATGCTAATTTTCATCTTTGTAAGCGCATAAAACATTGCAAATTATTTCTGTGACAGTCTTGACGTGTGTAAAGCTCCATTTTATCCTATACATGGTCAAAATATTGGGGGAGATGATACAATGGACCATCCTCCCCTTGTCAAATATTGGGGGATATATCCCCCATCCCCCCGGGATCTACGATGTATGGCATTATTTTATAAACAAAGTGAGCATTGAACCTCAAAACTTAGCTCAGGTGATCGAATTTGGTAGAATTACGTTTTAAACTCGATATGCATATCCAAATTTCATATTGACACCAACTTTATTTATATATCTTTTATATTTCAGCTGAAAATGGGATGCACAAAGCTAAAGTACGTTATTCGAAGCTGCCAGAAACGTGTTTCATTACATCCACCGATATAATGAAAATTTGCCATAAGAACAAAATTCCATACCAGCGTTACCACCATGCGTGCCATACCGACATCACGGGGTTATATTCTTCCGATACTGTGACAGAAGAAGAGAAACTTTTGCTAGATTTTTGGATCCAAGTAAAGGGCTTCAAAGAAAGCGTAACAGAAAGTGCCTACAAAGAGGCAATTAATTTTATTAAAAGCCCAGATTGCTCAGTCGAACGAGATGGGAAGTTACTGCTAAAGAACGATTTCGATTTACTATTTATCCAGAAATAAAGATCGATAGGCATGTTTTGCAAATTTAAGAATTATTTTCAGGTTGTCATGATGCGTTATTTCGACATTTCATTGTGTATGTCAATTGATGTTCATTAGATAGACGACATTTTTTCTTGATTGAAATATGTCGGCCTAGATTAGATATAGACCTGTCTAGTAGCGTAGTTTTAGCAACGCAAATAATTGGGGGTGGGGGCTATTAGGGACCCATCCATGAATATGCCTAAAAATAATAATTACAAATTATTTCAACTAAATATTTTTGAAGAAAAATAAACGGTCAATTTAAGTCTGCAAGTGTCATTTCCGGCCATGAGGTACCATCATAAATCTAGATCGTCCATCTGTGAAAGTCCCTCCCTGTGCCCGTTAATTTCGAAATGCCGGATCCGCCAATACAATCGTTTAATTTTACGTGCCACTTTCTTGATTGGTTTAGAACAACCAGTTTAGAAGGGGTAGGGGAGGATCTAGATTTATGATGGTACCATATGATTCTCTCAAGAAATGTGTTTTTTGTTTTTCTATTTATTCACCTTTTTATATTTCTGATTTGCACTGTTTTTGCCTATCGGATCAATACTAATTTCATTTTTACCATGTCGTTAAAATGACAATGAAGGAGTACGTCGTATCGTATCGTACCTTACAAATAGTATATATATAATAACGTACAACTGTAGACTCTGGCATATGAAGGACTTCACTCGTGTTATTATTTTGTTATAATATGTAGATCATGAAGGTGTGTCTCAAAATGGGTAGACTAAGATTCTTCACATACATTAGAGCAATTGGCCTACTTTGCATCTTGTTTGATGAGGTCTATTGCGATTTCTTTGTATATATAAACTAATCGATTGTGTTATAGAATCGTATGTTGACTAGAAACAACTTTTTAAAATATCGGTAGGCCTACCATATCAGCAGGAAACACAACCACTTACACCTATGCGACTATTGTGCTGACAAAAGTTAGAAAATACTTTTCAAAATGTTTTTTTTTTTTTTTCAGTTTAGGGGCTTGTATATTTTCTATTGTGATCGAGATTTTATTACATTAATTGAGGTACCCAATGCTCTAAGAAAAGAACTCATTATTTTGCTATACTTGTAAGTCTATTTAATATTTTGTTACGGTTTTCCACAGTTATCACAAAACGGTAGGTATACTAGGCTAGGCCTACTCTAGTCTTTTGAACCCTATGTGAACCAGTTGTTTCATATGATTGTGTGAAATTAAAGACAATGAAAAAAACTTAATTGGCTCCAATCGGATTCGTCGAATTTCCAACGACATTGGAAATCCCTATTGGAGCCAGTGTGACCAGTGATTCAAATCAAATTATGCCGAAGTTGATGGGAAATTTAGCTAAATTATGCCAAATGTTAAATTTCGAATTAGCGCCCCTCCAAATATTCAATTTAAAATAAGCGCCCCCAAATGTTCTAATATATCTACGGTTTAAATTGTAGTAATACACAGATATGCATTGTAAGGTTATGGGAAACACAGATAGGCATTACAGTATCATAATTTAAAATTATGGAAAAGTAAAATATTGTACTATATATTTTAGCACCTTTGGCCTTTAAAAACACAATGTCTATCTTGCTCAGATTATCATTTATTTTTCTGGAAATTGTGATATTTTGAACCATATAAAGTTTTATTATGAAGTTTTATTACAGTATATATTGCCACAATAATAGAATAATAAAAAAAAAATTGAACACAGTATTGACTAAATCCCCCGGCCATGTATAACACACTACAAAAACAAAATATGTAATTGCAGAATAGTATATAGTTCAGGTCCGTACGCAGGATTTTTATTGGGTGGGTGCGAATTTGTAGAGATTGTAGAAATAAGATTAGCACTAACAAAGAACATTTATTTTCTTTTGGAGCTAATATATCTACGGTTTAAATTGTAGTAATGCACAGATATGCACTGTAAGGTTATGGGAAACACAGATAGGCATTACAGTATCATAATTTAAAATTATGGAAAAGTAAAATATTGTACTATATATTTAGCACCTTTGGCCTTTAAAAACACAATGTCTATCTTGCTCAGATTATCATTTATTTTTCTGGAAATTGTGATATTTTAAACCATATAAAGTTTTATTATGAAGTTTTATTACAGTATATATTGCCACAATAATAGAATAATAAAAAAAATTTGAACACAGTATTGACTAAATCCCCCGGCCATGTATAACACACTACAAAAACAAAATATGTAATTGCAGAATAGTATATAGTTCAGGTCCGTACGCAGGATTTTTATTGGGTGGGTGCGAATTTGTAGAGATTGGACCAAAATTGGAGGGGGTGCGCTCGGGCATTTTCGATAATTTTAGGTTTAGTTAATCGATTTCTAAAGAAGCATATACGGTATTCAGTAGCGGATCTGTAAATTAGGGAGGGACTTTCACAGATGGAGGAAATATCACCTTAGCCCCACCATGTTTGAATCTGATGGAAGAAAAATTAATGAACATGGGACAAGAGCCTGAAAGTGCACTCTCATACAATTTAAATATCATTTTCTTTTTTTCTTTTCATTTTATCATTGTCAGTACCCCTGCGTACGGGCCTGTAGTTGAGCAGCAAAAGCGAAACCATTGCAGTTGTTATAACCAACTCCCTGATCAGTCTCAGCAGTAGAGTACGTCAGCCCGAGTATCATTTAAATCTTAATAAAACTCAGTAGTAGGTAAATAATAAAAATAAGAGACTTGTGGCAAGTCTATAGTCGGTAGTACACTACTCCCGGACGCATGCCTTCCGGACGGCCAGAACGAACGAACGAACGCGAATTTCGCCTTCAGCGAGGACAGGACAGGACCGGATCGAGTAGGCCCTACCCCATTAGCTCAACCCGCCCTCGATAAACTAACGTTACGTTATCTCACTATCATTAATTGGATTAACACATTATCTAGGATAAAGTACTGAGTGTTCACTGGTGTCCTTGCATTTTCAATGTGTGGTAAAAAAAAACAAAACAAAACAAAAACCCACAGGGAGGCAGCTGCTAAATTATTCTATTTTTTTTCTCTAAAATTTTGCCAGCACATATATGCTAGATGCTAAATGGGTCTAAATATGCTCAGGGTGGCGCCAGGATTTGCCCGACGGAGGGGGGGGGGGTACGATTCCCCCGACGAGGGGTCAGATTTCCCCGACGAAAGGTTTCGAAAGGGTGTCCCGGGGACCAGCGTGCCACTCACAATTTTTGATATACCCAATGACTGGGTCGAAATTACCCAAGATTCAGCAAAAATTGCCCAAAATACCCAAGCTTCCTGAAAACGCATTAAAATTTGAAAAATACGTGTTTTTCGCATGTATAGTTTCCCTTTTAGTTCAATTTATGAACCATTTTTATTGTAATTGTTTGTGTTAATTATTAAAATTAATATTCATGAGGTGATAATACCGATAGAAAAATACGCCCTCAGTCAGTCAGTGTTACCAGTGTAGAACCGGTGATCAAGTTTTATTATGTAATGCATTAACTAGGTAAGATCAATTCTGTAAACAATTCTGAACATATGTTTATAGCAAATTAACAGTCAATTAAGAATGTTATGTACACTTCGCTGAGTTTTACTTACTTGAACTTGGACTGAAATATACTTTGTTACTTTCTTAGTAAAAATAAAATACCCAAGGATTTGAACGGAATACCCAAGAGCCCAAGACCAAGTCAAAATACCCAAGATCTTGGGTAAATACCCAAGCAGTGGTCACGCTGCCGGGGACAAAGCCCCCGAAAATTTTAACTATTTAGAAATCCTGGTTCGATTGGATTTGTCATTTTGGGAAACTACGGAAAGGCACGCGGCGGCGGTCCAAACATTTAGAGGGCAGTATACAAAAAAAAAAAAAAAAAAAAAAAAAAAAACATGGTCAACTCTGACGGTACAGTAGTAATTTTTATAAAATCCAGACTAGGCCTAGCCTTAGTTTAAAAGACTCTTCCAGTTGGGGTTAGGTGAGTACTATAAATCAGTAGTGCCCATATGCGTTAGTTTTGTTTTTGGGCCTAGGCCTAGGCCTAGTTCTTGAGGTTAGGCAAAATTTGCTAGGCCTAGGCTGCTGTTTCCCCCTAGCCCTAGGTCTATCTAGGCCTATATATATAGCCTAGGCCTGGTCCTACCTACCCTGAGCTAGCCTATAAGGCCTACTCCTTCCCTAAGAAGAGGGGCCTCAGCTTAGGCCTAGTAGATTATGTTATTGACTGCTGTGTAGACTAGCCTAAGCTATACGTACCCAGAGTGGTCACTAGTGATGGGCGTAGGCCTAGGCTTCAATCTAGAAAGGCATGGAGCCTAGCATGGCCACTGTAGTAAATATTAGCTAGAAACAAAAAAAATTGAAATGTCCCAAATATTTTTTTAATTTATTTTTAATAGAAAGACATAACTGAATGAAGCATTTTAAAACAAAAATTATGTAAATCGGACCAATATTAGCGGAGATATTTCTATTTTAAATATGTTTTTTTGCTGGAGTTAATTCCTATTGTTTTTATTATACAAGAAGTGTGTCCCTTACAGTATAATTATGTAGCATTTTAGGCCATGTTAAAATAATACTCGACAATTACTAACGATTATAATTTAGTATTTTAGTATATATATTTATATTAGATTTAATCATTTTTATCAATATTTACGTATAATAAATGTGGCAAAGACAAGCCAAACCAGTCACTCGTCGCAAAAATCGATTTTGAGTTATTAATACAGTGTTAGATAGTAAAATAATAGCTATAAAATGGTAAAAAAATCATTCAAATTGGACTTTTCCTTATGAAGTTACAAGCGTTTAACCACACAGCTGTTTAAAGAACAATATATGAGAAATTAGCCGTCAAAGATTATGATTTCAGGCATTTCTCATGCAGAAACTATCTTTAAATCCTTAAAAAGTATTGTTTTTACATTGAAAATGGGGAAAATAACAGCATAGAATGATGTGTAGATATATAAAGGTTAGTTTTGTACAATAAAATAGATTTATAAAACTTTGACATTCTAGCATGTTTTAGCCATTTTCTCTGAAACACGATTTGTGACGAGTGACTGGTTTGGCTTGTCTTTGCCACAAATTATATTGAATCGCATAACTCTAGGCTAGACTAGGCCTAATTGTGTACTTAAAATGTATACTTCCGCGAAATACCCAATTAATACATTGGATATCCTATCTCCGTTGCGGCACTATTTTCTATCGCGATGTTTGTATTGCCGATCTATAGCGCCCTCTATCGGTTTTGTATCTAGCTATCTATATAAAGTGGCGCCTCCCTCTCCCTACTAAGTTATAGTAGGCCTATATTATTAATTAGTTATTACTTGACCTAGGCCCTAGGAATAATCATTGTAACTGTTTTGCATTTTGGTGATTTCAGCAAGCAATGCATGTATCCTACAAATAGAAGATTACACAATGTGTATGTAGTAGAGTAGTACAGATATATCAGGCCAAGGCCATCGCCACTTGATAAGTCTGAAATTTCAAAGATGGATGAGGAAGTAGAGGTGTCACCGGAGGGTCTACCAATGATGGAAGAGGAAACCAAATATACATCAGAAAGAATTAATGTGTTAGAAGAAGAGCTGCAAAAGGAGAGAGAACTCAGAAAAGATTTGGAGGACCGCAATGGGAAACTGAGATTCACGGTACTACTACTAAGTTACAAGAATAAGATATCGTATACAAACTTCTCAAGTGCTACGGAATTTTTGTAGTTATAGGCTTGTTGCCTAATTACTGATGTACGGAAAAAGACAAAAATACTACAGAAACTTATCGTAGGCCTACACAAATAGATAAGACCTAAAGTCCAGAACAAATGACTATTCCATCAGGATCTTTGGTTAACATTGCCCCTAGACAACTCATACTTGTCAGATTACTGATGAATTATTTTGAAAACTGAGAAAAAGTGGCCCGTAAATCTTCATCCTTCCCTGTTTGTTTGAAATTCCACATCGAATTACAGACAATCAGGCCCAAAGACGATCGGGCCCATTTACAGACGATCAGACCCAATTCGAAAGTGGTTCGGATCGTCCTGAAAAGTGACCCATAAATCTTCATCCTGTTCAGTTTGTTTTAAATTCCACAGATATACCTGCAATTTTTAGCAACCCCTACAGTATCTTGCACTCAAGGCAAGTCATTAGGTGCTATGGAAATTTTTTTTTTGACTATGGAAATCTGAAGACATAGTTATGGAAATGCATGTTACGAACTTAAGCAGTCTGCATATATCATTAATAATTATTATGAAAATGGTGGGGATGACAACTTTTCTGATGGTGGTGATGGCATTGGTTGTGATGGTGATGATGACAGCCACTGTCATGATTGATTGTGACATGGTTGTGATGGTGATGATGATATTGATTGTCGTCAACACAACCATCACAAGCATAGGCATTATAATGCTTAGGTTTATATTTTTCAAATCACAGATATTGTCACAAAAAAATGAATAATGAACAAAGCCTAAGTGAGGGTACAGTAAAACTTGCCTAAGTCAACTTTGCTCGAATAATTCTAGACTGGGTTCCAGTCCCTAAACTTAGTCTTAATCAGTAAAAAAACTGGAAAAATCGATTTGGCACCAATGGCGTTCCATATTACCTATTTGACTTTGGCGTTTCATAGTATACTTTTTCTTGGATTAATTCGCTTCAAAAAAGTTTCTTGACATAATCTGACGCTGGTGGCGCTTTCCGAAATGTGCTAATACTACGAAAAATCAATAATTAGAGACTTGTGGCAAGTCTAGAATAATTCCTAAGTTGATCTGATTTATATGCTAAATTGTTGTGTTTTCTATTAATTAAAGATCTATGTTGAATTTTATCCAAATCAAACAATTTTTCAATGCCTTTTGGATTCACTTAGGCAAGTTCATCTGTATGTCTATATGCATCTGCTTCAGCAGATGCATATCATTATTGGACATTTACTCACTGGGAATATTTTTCCTAGATTGCTGAACTTCAAAAGGAGCTTACATCTTGGAAGGAAGGTAAAGGTGGGGTTGATGTGGCCATACAGACCAGTGAGGAGGAAGCAACAGGACTGAACAGTAGCATTGGTGACACCAGAATCCCAGAGAAGATAGACAAAGATCATCCAGTAGGTGGTGATAGTTTTTCAGTTGTTAATATTCTCATCTGTACTGATAATTATACAATTGAAAAATATTATAAAGTTCTTGGATTATTGAGGTTTTTATTCATCATTATTAACACTCTGACCGCCAAGGATTTGAAAAAATAGTATCAGCCACCGCCAGACATTTTAGCGAATTTTAACACTTTTCCGAAGCTCGTTGAGAATGCGCATGTGATCAGATTGACATGTAATGAATACTAACTTTACAATGGTACCAAACACTTTATTCTAATCACATTCTGTGACCCGTAACAGTAAAATGAAAATGACTCACTTTTGGAGATTTACGGAATTTACCACAACGAAGCTGAGATAATTGCGATTTCTTGAAAGTAAATCAATACACTGTACATGTATATACTGTAGTGTTGAAATTGTTAGTACATGTTGGTAATTACTCCATCTATCGGATTCCGTAAAAAAACCTGAAACACAGAGATCTCCGTGTTTGGCAGTCAAGCGCTGTGTTACCAAACACGGAGATCTCCGTGTTTGGCGGGCAGAGTGTTAACTAATAATTATGGCTCAGCTTTGAATTGTTTTCGAGTGAAAGAAAAAACTCCTTTAATTTTGCTTAATTTTTGACCAAAGACCCTGGAATTTGAGGGAAAGCATTTTAAGCACAAAGTTACAACACCTTTCCTGAGTATGGACCTTTCTGGAATGTCAATCAATTTTACAACTGACCAATCAGAACAGGGCCAGGAATCCAAGGGGCTGGGCTTAGCGGAAAGGTCCATTAAGGCCTGTTTATGCTTGCAACGTGTTTTCACCCAGCACGAATCAGTAACGATTTATCGTGTAACGACGTCATAATCATGAGAAAAACGATAAAATCATTTTTACTACTATGATTATATTGTCTTTTATTTTCTCCATTTGAACAGATAGTTTTTTTAGCCTTTTATTGTTATTGTTGCAAGTATAAACAGGCCATTGTGCAGTAATCAACAACAATAATGTAAAACTAAATTTCCACTGTGTTTGCTCCAGCATTTTAATTTACTTCAACACAGAGGGTGCTATATAAATTGATAGATTATGTATATTTTTATATAAGATTTTCTATTTCATTTTTTACTAGGTTCCTGACGAAGCTCATTCGATAGCAGATAGCCTCCGCGATGCAGCAGAAGCCGCAATGACGCACTCTGGCTTTGTGTATGATGAAAACTCGGGGTTGTATTATGACTATTCATCTGGGTATTACTATAATCCTGTAAGCTGGTACCATCAGCATTGTCATCATTATTTCCCATAGAGCTATTAAACAACTACTGTAGAGTGTTGACTAGGAGAATAGCAATGCAGAGTTGTGTATATGTTATTTTCATTCTTAGGAAACTTTCCTTACCATATTTTGCTACATACTGACTAATCAGTTTTATGAAATCTACTAATTTTTTTTGTTATAATTATAACTGACAGGAAAATCACCTTTACTATGATACCAAAACTGGAATATACTATTACTTCAATGAAACTAGCAATGCATATGAGTTCCATTCCCAAGTGGAAATGCCGGACCAATCTCAAACCTGGCAGCAGGAGACAGAGGAGACGGAGGGGAAAAATTATAACAGAAGAAAAAAATACAGGGAGAACAGGAGGAAAGATGTCAAGGAAAAGTACCGGCACAAAAATGAAGTTAGTGATTTGCATACTACGCAAATGATATTTTATTTTTCTTTATGTTTTTATTCATTGTTATTAATCCATGCAACAACATTAGTGATGACTTGTATGAGAGTACAATGTATGAGCAAGTTAGATTTATGCAATTTTTTTCTCTGTTGAATTAGGATGAAACAAATGTGAATTACTAACACTGTGGAACTTTAAATAAAAAATATTTGCTGATCATTAAGGAATTGATGCCTGAAAATCATATTTTTTGTTTTCACAGATTGATAATTTAACAAACAGGGTGTCGGACTTGCACCTTGGCTCCCGGTACGGTTGTCAACCTTCAACGAAAACAACTTACAATATAGGTAAGCAGGAAGGCCTGTTATTTACAAGTACCTTGTTTTGTTTTTCAGAAGAGTAATCAGGAAGAGATACATGATCGCAGACGAGAAAAGTATGATCGCAGGGAAAGAAAGCATTATCGCAGAGAAGAAATGCACGATCACAGGGAAAAGCGAAGAAATGACAAAAGGGTAGGTCAAAGTGAATACCGTCGTAGGGATGAAAAACGAGATAAAACTCATGAAATTACTAAGCACAGAAAAGACAAAAAGTATGGAAAGAGCAGATATGAAAATGTTTATTCAAGTTCAGATGAAGAGATGATGAAGCGTAAACATAGCCACAAAATGGATGGTAAAGCAAAAAGAAAAGATAAAAAAGGTTGTTACCTTAAACATGAAAAGGATGCTAGTAAACGTTTGAAAATGGATAAATACATGAGTTCCGGAGAAGATGAGAAACAGTTTAAGACAGATAACAATAAAAGGGACAGAACTTCCAAGGATAAAACGTCAGTTAGAACTCGTAAAAATAATTCTGGAAAAAGTGGAAAATATATTGACATCATTGTTATAAGTTCAGATGGATCTGAGATCGAGGAAGGGGAAATCGGAGACGTTGAAGACATTGAGGATGGAGAGATTCCATCTAACTCACCTAGTAGGGATTCCTCTGAAAGGAGTTCTCTCTCGGACATCTCTACTGATTCAATGAAAGATACTTCTGGAGAACTGGAGAATGAGAATGAGGAGGAAGAGATGGAGGAAGAAATACAACAAGGTTTGTATAGGATAGTTGAATGAAGCCTGATACTTATTTTCTATCATAAAATAATGATAAATTATTATTATTATCATCATCTCTATTATTGAAATCATGATGATCAATTGTAATCTTTTCTTATTGTACAATAGTTTAATTTTTTTTTTGCATTATTATTTTAATTACAAATTGTTGATATAAAATGCACATCAAAGTACATAATATATAAGAATTAATTATTATTAATGTATGTGAAAAAAAATGTATTACATGTAAATTTATGAAAAATTCTTTAAAATTAAATACCTTTCCTATTATGGACTACCTCCACTTAAAGACCACTTTCTGTAGTTCCATATTAACAAATATTTTATATTTATTCTAATTAAAGACCAAAGCTGCTAAAGACCATGGAAGCCCTGGTCCCAGAAGTGGTCTTTAATTGGGGGTGGGGGGTGACCTGTATACAATGAGATGGAATAAATAATATTTTTAATACTTACAATTTTTGCGCCATTAAGCTTCTTAAAACCACTGCTATAGTGCTCAGGATTGAGCTTGTGCAGTCAAAAGAAGAAGTTGAAGAACATTAATTTGATTGTTGATGTACTTACCTTAGTCATTCATTTTATTGCAGTGAATCGTCGTGAATACCCACCATGCATCAGGATGATTGTAACAAAGTCGGAGAGTATTCCGCCTGGAAGTTTGTATATAATAACATGTATGGGAGGTAGCATAGGGAGGTAAGAATCGAAGACACCAATCCCTAAATCCAATACACTTTATATATAAAGCAGGTGGTGTGATGATGTAAATCTCTGTCCAGACTATCAAATTTTATTTGACAAAAACATGTGACATGCCTGAATATGGTCATGATGACATCACATCATGACCATATATAGGCACATCATGACTATATATGGGCTTACAACAGTTTTTTGTCAAAGAAAATTTGGGCTAAGCTTTGGACAACATCAGACAGGTATTCTGGCAAGGGTGCAGATCTGTTTTAAAGGTGGGGGTCATTTAGTGAATCCACATGCATTTCATCCCCACAATGGTTGGGGCTGAGGCGCAAAAATTTGGGGAAATGTTGCCCTCTAGTTGGCTGGAAATGATGCTCTTACATAGTAAAATTCATCATCATCACATTGCCATTATAGTCAAAATGAAACGCCAACAAATTTCTCAAGATCTTTTATCTGCAATTTTCGGCAATCATAGAGATCTAATTAATCTCTGATGTACCATGGAAAATAAAACTTAATTGTCTTTGATGTATTTCCTTACTTTACCTACTTCATGTGCCAAAAACCAATCTTATCTTGACACGATTTTTCTCATACTTTTCATGTAATAATTGACCTTTTCCAGAGAGGGCAGTGAGCATGCAGTTGTTATTCCAGAAACAGGGGTTAGCAAACGACATGCTGACATTTACTACTCACAGGAATCGTGGCAATATTTTATCAGGGACTTAGGGAGTCAAAATGGTACCCTCATCAACTCAAAAAGCTTATCCCAGGTGAGGGATGGTATTGAAGCATAATACTGTATTTTATAGTGATGGTGATCTCTAACCTGATTCTAAAAAATCTATTTACCAACAGTACATTGGTTTTTATGATATACAGTGCTCACTTTGTTGTATTTTAAACTCAGACGCCACATTTTTTGTCACATGGCTTTGAGTAGGGGCGGATTTAGAGAGGGGGGCCCCGAGCTGGCTGTGACCCCCCCCCCTTTCAGAAAGTTACACAAAAAACAAAAAACAAAGAAAGAAAAAGAAATAATTTATCACCCAAGACAACTGAAGAGGTTATTTTCGGGCATATAGAAAACAAAAAATTTGTGGGGGAATTCCTCAGACCCCCTAGGAAAGTTTTATCTCGATCGGCCCCTCCCCCTTTCGACATCTCTGTATACACCCCTGTTGAGGTCTACAGGGCTGTATGTACAATAAAAAAAAAATACCAGAAAAGCATGGCATTAGCATCTTATTGAATGCAGCCACCATTTCAATTAGACATATAATGTAATGTAATACTGTTATAATATATTTAAACTCTAACTTGTAGCCTCGCACTGAGAGTGAATCTCACAGTCTCTCACACAAGGACTACTTGACCATCGGCGGGACAGTGCTGCGGTTACACATTCATCCTGGAGCTGAAACGTGCGATGACTGTGAACCAGGCCAAGTGCAGGCACTGCTTGCTCAGAATCAACCAAAAGGTGAGATATTTGTTAAAAGATGATTAAATATTTGAAAGTGAGCAATACTGTTTTTATTTGAAATTGTCATGTTTCCAAGAAAAAATATGTGATATTATTATGTAATGAAAGCTAAATCTATCTACCCTCTTTAGTAAAATGCTTCAAAGAATATAGATTTTTTTTTATAACAAAGCAATTAAAAAACATAAGAAAAAATAATAGATAGTTAAACATGGTACATGTTGACTTCTTTTAGCTTCTGTGACGATATCTGCTGACAAGGAGCAACAACGACGTAAAGGACTTAAGGAGATAAGGAAAAAATATGGGCTAGCTAAAGACAACTATGTGGAAAAGAACCCATCCACATGTAATCCATTGTACAAAGACAGAGCAGAGGGTCGTCGCAAGACTGTTGGTAGCGATAATCCACACCAGAAAGATGATGCACCATCATCAGTTGACAGGTATGCAGGCTTGTCATTGATCCCTACTTTTTGTGTTATCGTTTTTGCGCAATAATAAAACCAAAGAAAGCAAGTCAAACTGCACTCTCCTTTCCCCCCCCCCCACTTTCTACGCTATCTTTCATTGTGTATAAGGATTTAACTACTCGCTACTGTATTTTACCATTGTATATATAAAACATTACTTCAATAGGAACCACATCCCAAGTCTTGCTTCACTATTTCATTACTATAAATAAGCAAGTGTACTAAATTTTTGGTTTATCAAGAGATGACTTCAATTAAGGATTAATAATGATTATTATTACTGTATTATGATTTTTATTTTCATTCTACTGTATTCTCTTTATTAATAAAGTATTAATTCTAATCTCATTAGGGAAATTGCCTCAGATAATCTTGGTAGGAAGATGATGGAGAAAATGGGTTGGAAGTCTGGAGACACCCTTGGCAAGGATAACACTGGGATCAAAGAGCCTGTAAGTCATAATACCTGCATAATACCAGTTTTTGTCACCTGATCATTCATCATCTTTAATTGTTAATTGCGAAGTGTTTTTAAATGGCCTCCCCGAGACGCTTCATTTTCGTTTAAACTGAATCTTAACTTTTAGTTTGAAAAGTGGGTGTTGACAGTTTATCTCCTTTTATATATTTCAGATAAATGTGCTTTCCAATAATAAACGTGCTGGTCTAGGGGGTCAGGCACAGCGCACAATCTCCGACCTTGCACAAGGGAGCTTAGCATCAGAAAAATGGGACAAGGCTCGAGCAAGATACGATGCCATAGCAGGAGGAGCAAAAACAGAAATCGACCAAGAAAAGATTATGGAAATTGGCAAAGGCTCAGCACAATCAAAAGTGAAAAGTATACAGATGAATTGGACAAGTGGAGGAATTATGAAGCCACAAATTAAAAAAGAAAATATATTTGGAATTGATGAGGAGGAGGAGGAAGAAGCAGAGGATGGTCCAGTCAGTTAGGTTACCATAGTGACCGTGGATGATGTCATCAATATACTGTAGATGATGAACGCATTTGAAGTTTTACATCATAATTATCAGTCATCATCATAAGTCTATAAAAGTGCTTTAACTACTGTACATATTTTCATTTTTTTAACATACTGTACAAAAGTATTGTGAAATAAAATATCCAGTATTCGGCATTATGTTATTGTATATACCTGAAGGACCAACATCTGAGAAACATTTTATAATTTAACCATGTAACTAAACACACAAGGAAACTTCCAGTTAGAGATAAAGAGTGGGTGTGTGTGCGCATGTGTGTATCCAGAAAAACCACAATGCAGAATGGATTAAATAAAATTGTAATTGTTCCTAAAAAGGCCAAAATCTCTGCTGGGGGGAGGAACAGGATCTCATACGATGGAAACTAGCATCAGAAGAAATGGGACAAAACTTGAGCACAGTAAAATGCTTTAGCAGTAGGAGTGAATACAGGAAGATACAGAGGATTAATGGGGGAATTAGATATGGTACATAAAAGAAAATATATTTATGGCGAGGAAGAAAAGGGTAGTGTAATTAATTCAGTAATTAACTTTGATGATGATCATCTTTTCTAGTGTAGATGGACACATAAATATATGATTATGATCAGTGGCAGATCCAGGGAGGGTTCAAGGGGTTCGGATGAACCTCCCTCTGTGAAGAAACAACAAAATGCTACTGGTCTTGGCTTACAAAAGGCATGCTAACCTACCAAGGCATAGTCAGTAGCAGATCGGACAAATTAGGCTTGGCCCAACTAGCTTTCAATTAAATAGTATTAAAAACACTGTTTTTGGTTCGACATCGTACTAATTTATATACGAGGTGTGTTCTTCAGGCCTATCGGTTCATTAATCCATAGAAGAAAGGCTATGTATCCAACTAGGCCTATTCAATATTGTTGGAATATAATAATAAGTTGCCTGCCTTTGGACAACCTCAAATTTTGAAGAAATAAAAGGTCATTAAAAGACACTTCAGAAGTCGGGAAAGCTCATTTCCGGCCATCTAGGACCCCCTTTCATTTGGGGTTTTTTTAGAAAATTTTGAACCCCCTCATTCAAATCCTGGATCCGTGCCTGATGATTTTTATTTCATTTTAGTTCATAAAATTTTCATTCTCTCACCTACATCATCATATTTCTTGCAACTCGAACATAAAATACTGAGTTCATTAATTGCTGTACATATTTTCATTTATTTAACATAATGTACAAATATATGTGGAATAAACTATGCATTACGCCAATGAAATGCTTTTTATATTACACCGCCCTTAATACAACTGAAGGAGCAAACATCTGAGCAAACAATTTATAATTTAACATGCAACTAAACAAACAACAAAGCAAAATTCTGGCTAGATAGGTAAAGACAGAGTACGTTTTTAAAAGTTCACAGAATGGGTTAAATAATTATTTATATATAAAAAAAAATACAAGTGTAAAGTTATAAATCATGGATAGCATTACAGATCACCAGTTAAACCTCAAGTGTAAACTGCCAGGTTACCATGGTAACATTGGATGATGTCATCAATATATTGTAGATGATGAACACATTTAAAGATATTATTGAAGATCACTGGATATACCCCAAGTGTACACGGTGCAGTGTGGATGAAAATTAAAATTAAATTTGTAAAATGCACCGCATTTTATAAATTAGCAGTAGAATATAAATGCAAATATTTTAACACTAAATTCATTACAATTATAGAATTTTTAAATACTGTATTGGCAAACCTGCCAACTTGTTACATTTTATACAAAGTGGACCACATACCTGCCCTATTTCATTTTCTAGTATCAATATTTTTCAGTAACAACATTTTTTGTTGTTGACCTGTTGTCACAGTGCATTCTTCTATTTATAGTATTAGCACACATGTTCTTGAAAGGGAGTGTTTCACAAGATGTGGAATTCTGACTATCATGTCATATGACATTTACTCATCATAGGATTATAGTAAATACAAATATCAGGTAAAGATATTCATGGTTTTAATGATAGGACTGGCAGAAACTGAGAAAATAAATATATTTTATTGTTCATAATGAATAAAAAACAACCATCACACTTAAATGTTGATCTAGCACAGATTAACAAGTTAAATTTAGATCTACTGTGTAGGTGTCGATTTAAGCTTCACCCACAACAAATTAGTGAGCTACCATCAAGACTTCTTTTTTGAATCCAATAAGACATAAGATGGCCACTATTTAGGATGATGTGTTACACCACACTTGCTTTCATTCAGTAATGTTATTGAATAAATTCTTGGCCATTTGAATCATTGACAATATATGCAATGAATATAAACAAAAACAAGTTTTGTTATATTTATGTATGGTATTCCTATATTTCTGGTTTTTAATTTCATTTTTTACCTACCTTGGGAGATCCCCTGCCCCCTCGTAAATCCACACCCACTCGAAGTTTCACTACTCAGATGTCACTTCATGTTAAAATTTAGACGGGCTAAATCCCTGATGCTCAATTTAACACATTTCAAATATCCTGAATATCTTTCTAACCAATAACTAACCTATGCAGAATATCAGGGTTTTTTTGTTCATAAATGAGAATTTTGTACTAGTCACTGAGCCTTCCAAAAAAGCTCCAATTTTCCATGGTCAACAGTGATATACCAAATTACAAAAGTGATTTTCCTATTTTACATTTAATTAAAAAAAAAACATTTTACATGGGTACAAATAAAAAGTAATATTTCTTGTTATACCGCCTTTACTTGTATTTACTTACATGGTGCAGTACTTGCATCACACCATTCTAAATACTGTAGATCATGGTGGATGATGTTATATTTTTAAAGAAAGAAGGATAAAATTCAAAACAAAAATTAAGTATAAATTTGAAATTTCAACCATTCACAGATCAATCTCTAGAAAACTGAAATTATAAATTACCCATCTCAACATCTTAAGCAAATTATTAATCTTAGTTAAAAATGTAGCTCAAAAATATATTTATAGAATTATACTTTTTCATTAATTTTTTAAAATTGCAAATGCAAAAAATGACAAAATAAATTGGTTAATAAAGAAATAAATGTATGTAAATTTGAATTAATCAAAATTTAATATACTTTTTGTTTAATGAATGGTAATTTTATCTATATATTTGTTTAGGATACTTTCTGATACGGAAGATATCTGATAGCATAAATTTCCTCACCTGCATTCAAATATTCAACAAAATGTTTTCACCTGCATAAATAAATCCTAGACCATGTAGAGACCGCTTAATTAATATTCTATCAACTAAAAATATCTAAGCCTATGATTTGTTTTGACTTTCCCCTACCCTTCACACCTAACAACTACGAAAAAGATCATCAATAATATCTGTAAAATCTAAGTTGGAGGAAGGGGGCTGTAAAGCCCCCATCCCCCAGGTTCTTTGTCAATCGAGCGAAATGATGTCTGGATTGAAGAGGCTACTGCTTGAAGCACTGGAGCGTCCATGGTCTTGCAATGGAGGGGTTTGATAAAGGTTTGGATGCTGTGGAAGAAATTTAAAATCAAGATATTAAGGATCCATAAAACTACTAATAGGAACCAAGTGACCCATTATAGTATTGCTCCTTAAAAGTTACTTTTTAATAATGACCCACCACTCTAATAGTAACCCATTTGGGTTACTATTTGGATGTCATAGACAACGACATATCTACAAAACAGTTGACTATCAATCAATCTGTGTACTGCATCTGGCTTGGTATCTATTTAATCATCCATAAATTTTGCAATGACTTAACTTTGAATAATTGTAATTATTATAATTATAATTATTATAATGAATTTTGTGTTTTACTGCAACATTTTCTAATTATATCTATAACTGTTATTGGCTGTTTCAAGTTTGAATTTTTAAATAATTGTAAATATTAAATTTTACATTTTTTTGCCCAGTGCTTTTCTTGTAAATTGTACTTTCAAACTGATTTTGTTTTGTGTGCGATGGCCCCTTTAAGTGAGCATTGCTGTTTGGGCCACCCTCGTTAAATAAAGATGATTAAAAAAATAAATAAATAAATTTCTAACCATCCATCCATCTATCTATTCGTTCATTCATTCATGATTAAGTGATTCTTTCATTATTAAGTAATTCATCATTATTATTACATTTTGGCATTTTACAAATTTCTGAAAAGACTTACCGTATACAGCATTGACATAAGATCGATATCTGTGTAGAAAAAAAATTACAAAATATTCAGTTATACATTTTATTCTTAAAGCCAGACTTTGGAGAAAATAAAATGTTTAATATGTTGTACAACTGATATTTCTAAGACACAGGGGGTATGTTTGAAGGAAAACTTGGTAACAGTTACCAGTAATAGGATACAACATTTTAAATATGGTATGTAAAGAGCTATATACCCAATTCCGAACATAAAACTTTAGACCTACCAATATATAAAGAGAGGAATGCTCAATGGATTTGTATGTTCATGTTATGTATTTTCATTCCTTATGGTATATTATTCCACCAATTATGATATAATTCGACCAACTTTTAGCTTAAGATGTCATTTGCAATATTTTTATAAAAAAATTTTACCTATTCCGATTTTCTAATGTAATTTTATTAATTATTTACTTGTTTTGCATTTGTTTGTTTATTTACTTATCTGGATTTTTTATCTGGATTTTTTTGAACTTGCAATTTTTAGCTTAAGATGTAATTTTTCGCAATATTTTTGTAAATTTCTCTATTCCATTTCATACTGTAATATTAGTAATCAATTTGTAATTTAGATGTAATTTCTCGTAATATATTTCTCTTTTCCATTTTATACTGTAATGTTATTTATCAATTTATCTTTCGCTTGTTTGTATTTTTCTATATATTTATATGTATTATAAGACATCCTGTAATTGGCTTCCGCTGTTGGATGATTTTCGAAATAAAATAAAAAAATTAAAAACTTTCTTCGACAATGCACTAGTATTTGTAATTCTTTTTTTTTTAAAATTATTTTTATTTTAAACCTGAAACCTTTTGTAGAAATACTGGGATGGTGTCCGGTTGGGTATAGTTTTACCTGTAGTTAAGTCGACCATTCTCTTTTTGTATGGGGCTTATAGGAAAAATTTACTTTTTAATTCATCATTTTTGCCATGTTACTTGATATTTCTATTTTATTTTATGTTTTTTAATTTGATTTGGAATAAAGCTTACTTGATACTTTAAAAATTGATATTATAAATATCACTGTCATAATCATCATCTACATGATCATCACTACAGTACTACCATATCAACATTTTCCACATCATTCTCATCCTAATTCAAATTAAAATAAAACATAAAATAGATAGAAATTGCAAATAATAGATATTTTATGTTCAAAACGATGTTATATGTTTAAGTTAATACTCTATGAATTCTGAACTGTTATTTAAAGCAGCAAAGCCGTAGTCTGCTCACCTAGTGGACATTATTTACTAATATATTACTGTATGTCCAAGACAGGAGAATTAACCACAATCTCTATCAAGCTATTTCTGTAAAGCAGATTACATCCAATCTGCATATTACTGTTCTTCTCTCTCAGGTTCACATAGTATCTTCACTCTAGGTTTTCATGAATATTAATAGTCAATGGACATAAATCGTGTGGATTAATATAGCGACGTCTCAACATAAGCAACTTCCATGTCTATGTATGTCTGTCTGTCTGAGTTGAGCTAATTAAGGCAAGATTTTTTTAATACTTTGTTTCGCCAACTCATTTTTATAAAGATCGTCAGTGTTTGGAAATAAAAATGTTCTTTTCTTATTTAGCAAATAGATTTCCCAAAAACATTCAGATGCAGGAGGAAATAAAAATTAAATTTTTCTTGTTGAATGTAAACAGTGTAGTAATGGGAAAGAAATATACCCATCTTATTTCTTCAGATTTCAAGGCAGTGGCAGGTGTAATAAAAATAAAGAACCCAATTAGCGCATCCCACCGCCATTTTTTCGTGGTGGTGGGTGCGCTAATTGGCCAATAATATACAGTAACGTAATTTTTATTCGAAATCATCATTATTGGTGGGCGATGGGTTCGCTAAACAAGGTATAGAAAAAGACTTGCCTAGATATAAAATAAAATTAAATATTTATATCGCTTGGTATATTTAGTTAAGTTATTATTAAAATGAAAATCAGATTGTGGTAGAATCTGGCAAGACACTAAAATACAAAAAAATTGAATTACTCATTTAAAAAAATATAAGTTATGCACTGTCAACGAGACAGTTTTTCTGATTTACAGATCTTTCAAAAAATGGTTAACAGTCATAGGAACAATATTATTAATAATAATTTGTATATGTTAATTGGTTGAAATACTAAAGAACCCCTCCTTTGGCCAACCTCTCTATTCAGGGGACACCCCTATTAAGGACACTTTTTTTCTCAAGTGTCCCCTTTAATAGAGGTTCTACTGTAATAGATTTAATATAAGTACAGTATTTCTATTGAAATATAATAGGAAGAGATTGTAAATAACTTGGTTGCTTCCAAATTTTTTTCAATCAAGAAACCCCTAAAATATACAATCAGAACATTGGATTTCTCATTTAAACCGTTTAATCAGTTTTCATCTATTTATAAATATTTTCCTTCAAAAGCCTCTAAATTATCTAGTAGCAAATTTAAGGTCTATGAAAAACACAAAAGAGTGGAGTTGAAAAGCTTGGTAGTACAGTATAGGATGCCTGCCTTACAATCCCATGGTCCTGGGTTCAAACCTGTTCTCCAGGCAGTGGCAGTGTCAGTGGGGGACAGGGGGCTTAAGTTCCCCACCGGACAGGTCAAGCACCCACCGCCGTACAGAGCTTGTCGGGCAGTCAGACCATAAAACATATAAAAATAGGCCCACACCAAGCCAAAACATGTCTGTTACAGTCTGAGAGTGCCATTTCCGCCCATCCAGAGGTTGCTATTCTTAAAAAAAAAATCTCATTTGGATGGGAGGAAACACTCAACCCCTTCTCCCAGCTCGAGCCTACGAGCTCAAGTCTCCCCTATCGGACAACTTAGCCCCCAAAATATATCATAGAGCCGCCACTATATCCAGGGAGCAGAGAGGTTTGCACACTTCGTTCTGGTTTGTCATTGCATGGTATCCATTGACCAGGGGTAATAAATCTCACTTTCCTCACTAACAGATGCATAAATTCTATATTCATCGCATAGTCTCTTAAATTATCTAATAATCCATATAAGGAGTCTCATAATAAAGGCTGTAAACTGGAGAAAACCAAATCTTATTTGATGTTGATATTTGATCCTTTTTTTAAATTAATTTAATGTGTAAGTAATTGTTGAAGGGGTTTTTCTCAAATTCAACAAAGGCAGTTACATAGTGTATGCTTAATATTTAGTGTCAATGAACAAAGTTAAGAAGCAACAGTGAGCAGAAGCCGAACTAAACAAAAGCAGCGATTGTTAGGCATGATTTATAGGGGAAAATCCATACAAGTTATAAGATTAAATTAGAAGTAATTTACCAAAGAAAAAGCAAATGAAATGAATCAAATTTGACAATGGTATTTGTTGCCTTGATAAATTATTTTAATGGGAATAAATATACAAGGTAAAGACAACATATAAAAGTCATGCAAATTCAACAATCACAATTTGAGTTAAGAGGAAAACAAAAGGCAAAAAATTTCCCTGGGACAAGACATTTCCAGACTGCAAACCTGAGATATACACACTGTCGTCACAATATTGACAAGTGTTTTAAATGGAATGACCAACTTTCTAAATTCTAAAAGCTACATTGATTAACATATACACCAACTTCTCTATTTCGTTTTTCCATTGTCACACACTGCCTATAACTTTTCATAGAAAATACAACAGGGTGATCGACACCTAGCACATTTCTAAAACATGTATTTTTGAGCACAATTCAAAGCATACTTCTGAATTTAACCTGTGAAGTGTTTGTTTTAAACTCTCACAATTTATCTGTGGTGAAATGTGATTTGTGATTTCACCACAGATACTTTGAGTATGTATTATACTATCTTAAATGTGATAGAAAAACCCCATTCAAACCTTCAATTAAAAATTGAACTGCTGATTTTAAAAGGATCAAATTAGTTATTAACTTCAAACACAGATATAAATAAATTTAGTTTTTACTGATTTATTGATGTTTTACTAAGAAAATTAATTGATGATCATTAGCCAATTAAGAGTCTATGCAAAAGAATATATTAACATTATTTACACATCTGTTACTTGGCATGGCAAGTTTCTTCTCATTCTAATTTCCAATGAAAACTAATAAATTACTTAAATATGCAACAAAAAAGTTAAAAAATTTAAAAATTAAATATAATTTTTAGCTTATCACAGACAATGTTTAAAAGAAAACCATGTATTGGTAAAATAACACTTAAGTTACAAGAGTATTGGACTGGTTCTCTTTGTCCTGAATTACTATAAACACCCAAATTCTCTTAAACTCGGCCTTATTTTTCTGACCTTTTGTTTCACCTCATTAAACTATGCTAATGAGTAGGGCACGACTGATTAAATACATTATTGTGACTTGCATTCAATCAAGCATACATACATTCATGTGTACCTATCTATTTCACATAAGGTACAATTTAATACATGTAGGAGTTGGGACTTGGGTTCTAATGGTATAGTTCTAACTGTAGTCATGATTTAAGCGACATATATAAGGAGGAAGTGGTTAGAAGCAGGAAAAATTTACACCCTCATGCAACACACTAGAAATTTGCTGAGCCAAAAATTACGCTCAATGTTAACTACCTTCAGTTTAATTTATCTAATAGCGTAATCTGGGCCAAGGGCTAAATATCAACAGGTTTCCCCCAGCACCCCACCAGCCACAATCACCTCCATGCTAGACACACCACTGTCCTAATACATGCACAAAATATATGCATAATGTATGTTTAAGAATGTATTAAATTTTCATGCACTAGTAATATATAATTATAGAATACTTCCTGATTGGACACAATTCAGTGAAAGGACATGGAAACCGCTTTTCATCATCACCACCACAAAATAGTACAAACCATAAAATATATCGATTGAAACTCTAGTCTATGCTTTTTAAACACAAATTCTGATCTGTTGGATCATGTATGTGTAAAAAAACAATGCACAATTAAAAGCACCAATGTATAAACATTGTGTAACTCTTTAAAAACCTGAAAACTGACATTGAAATTTTAAATTGAACTCTATATCATCTTTGACATAGGTATTTTACATTAATTTTTTCAAGTTTGAGAAAGTAATACCCAAATGTTTCACTGAAATGGACAAAAAATCCTTTTTGTTTGAAAATAACAAATTCTCTTCATTTTAAAAAGAGCTCACAATTTTCATTCTTTAAATTTCAAATCAATGAACACAGTAGTGGACACAGAACATCTTACGATGGATACTGGTCATTTGAAAAGTAATAGTTGTTTATGTTTCCTGGATACCAACCATACCTTTGAACTGTAGGGGGATATGAGAGTTGAAACTCGTTTTGATGTAAAGGTTGTGGGCGAGGGATATAATGTCGGTAATCTGATCTGTAGTTACTGGAATAACCTTCGTAATTGTTTGTCCGCTGCCGCTTAGCGCTTGGCTGTAAAGGGTCACCAGGGTCTGAGCTGTCTGCTACTGTATCTACTAATCTGTTATGTATTCCACCTTTGCTTTTCTCCTGTGGGTTAGTAGTATTAACTGAAAGCACACTTTCAACGTATGCTTTATCAGATAATGTGCTATTTTTAGTGGGCATACTTTCTGCACGTCTTTCAGCAGCTACATGAGAGGAGGTGCTATTTTCTGTGTGTGTGCTTTCTGTACATGTGTCATTTTCCTTTTGTATGCTCTCTGTGTTTGGCTCACCTAATACTGGGGGGCATACAGTTGACGAATTAACTTTCTCAGAATTACTTGTTGCTTTTGAAAGGATGGAAGGTGATACAACATTAGAAACATTATGAAAAGTGTCTTCATTATGGTCTGTATTAATTTGATCGTTTTGTGGATTATCTGGAACTGGGGTTTGTGGGTCACCTGCAGTTGGGGTTTCTGAGGAGGTAGAGCCACCATCACCTTCATCGCCAGAGTTAAATAATGATCTTGGACTGTCTAAGCTTATAATAACAGGTGAAACGCACCCTTTGTTGCTTGTGAAGTCCAGTGTTGCGGGTTCTATGTGTACTGGTTCCTTAATATCTTCATCTGACTCCTCATCAGAGCTAATCGTCAGGTCAACAATCTCAACCTCAGTTTTACTGAAAGGCTTACTGGAATTTGCTGGAAAAAAAAAATAAAAAAAATAAATTGATTGAAATAATTAAACATTTTTTAAAACTAGGCAAAGTTTTACATTTTGTTTATTAAAATAAACATTTTTTTAATGGATATTATTTCAAAGATAAACCTTACCAAGATGCTAATTAATTACCATACTAAATTCAATCAATATAGCTTTGAAAACATTCAGTTTGGTTATGTTACTGAGAGTAGTTCTTTTCAAGTAACTTGCACCTATCATAGGGTTTGTAAGCAAGTTGATGAAATTCCAGGGAAATTCCAATTTATATTTCAAGGACATCTAATAATATTATTAGAGGACGTAAATGGAATAGACAAATGGTTAGATTTTCTAAGTATTGGTAGGGACCCAGAATATGGCCTCTATACAATTTTTGGAGGGCTTTAAATTTAAATTTTAAATTTAAAAAAAATTATTCAATGTAAACATGATTGTAGGCAATTTTTAGAATATTAACTTTAAATTTTACTTTGTTTTAAATGTTAATAATGTTATATTAAACTTCATATGTATGCATCCAAGTATACATGACAATACAATCATAATGTTCTCAATTGTTAACTTTGCCTATGTAGGTTATGTATGCTAACAGTAAGTAGTATAATAATTACACTTAGTTTTATTAACTAAGTGTGGAGAGGAGGACTGGAGTTGTCTTTTAGTTGTAAGAAAAAACCCTGCAGTTACTTAGGACCCTGAGGTGGTAAGGCAAACATCTTAACCACCAAACCACAATTCCACTTTAACAACATAAAATTAAAAAAAAGTTGCAACTCACAAGTACACTTATTGCTTGATGAGCCTGATGTCACATTATCTTTAAAGTTGTCAACTCTGCTGGCTGACGCTACAAAAACAGCCTCCTCCTTGCCATTGCTGTTGACCGGCTTCCATCTACCATCCTGTAGGAAGTGGATCTCATTCGTATTGGGAGACATCTGTATAATTTCATGGAAGAGCCTATAGAAAATGGGAAGAAAATCAGTTATGAACAAGAAATGTTGAACACTGGGTTTACTGTTACTTGTTGCTTTAGCCATTCTCACCCAATTTTCAGTAGATTGAACTTAAACACCACAAGAATAGGAAATGACATATATACAAGGCCAACATTTTATGTATAACCATACAAATTAGGCTTAATACACAATAAGTATGTTTGTAAGATGATTACCAAGTATGAAGTGTGAATACCTCAATTCAAGCTATTTCATATAATATTTTTGTTTTTTATTTTATACTTTATAATGTTATCTAAGGCACACAACAAAATTTGCATAAAAAATCTCTGAATTTATGGTGTGGGATTATACACTAGTGGATCGTTTGAGATAGCCTTACACCAGAAGTGGGCTCCTACCCACATCAGTATGGTATATTTAGAGGTAATCCGATTTGACTTACCCATCAAGAACAAGGAGGTTAAAGGGTGCTTTCTTATCGCATACTGGACAGATCCATGTGGCTTTCCTGCATTAATGACAAAAGCAAAAAATCCATGTCAACTTGTCAATCAATCAATTGATCAAATGTGCTAGAAGAGACTTGTGATACTTGGCAAGCATGAGGTATGTTTCACAAAAAAATCATAAAAAGATTGAAAAAAAGGGAAATTCTAATTTGAATTAAATTATTCATAATCAATTAATAATTACTCCAACAAAATTCAGTAGTGTATAGTAAATTAATCATAAATGTTTAAGAATACATTTTTAAAAAATTGATAAAAATATAAAATAAATGATCCATAAACAATTATAGCAAGATATAGTAGCATGAATTATAACAGTCAGCAGGCATGTTTTAATATAAACCACCAATTACAGAGTGGAAATGTCAGGATGTTATTAATTTTAAGCAGGCATACAGTAATAAAGGCAGGCTAAAAGCTGGAACGTATAGACACTCAGACAATAATCATAATCATAACACAATGTGGAATAGAGGTGAATTTGAACTCACTTTTCATTCATCATGAGGTAAAGGGCGGCATCAAAACATTGTAAATGCGTACACGTGCTGGCGCGACACGGGATCTGCATGCGCATCTTACCCAAAGGACACAATAGCGATACTCGTAAGCTAGTTGTTGCAATTTCACTATCTGCATCATGTGCCAATTTCTCTTTAACTGTCAAAAATAAAATATGAATAATAAATAATAATAATAATAATAATAATAATCTTTAATAGGCCCTATAGAAATTTGTTTTATTATTATTATTAACAACAATGAAGATAACAAGAATAGTAATATAGTAACAATAATCATTACATTTGATTGAATGATTTTTTTCTATAATGTGTTTAATATTAGACAAAAAAATGAAATGAAGAAAATGAAATACATTAACAATATAAAACAACAATATTCAATTTACTTCAACTAATAAATTTTCATCATCTCTTATCACCAAAAATGTTAATTTATGAGCTAGAACCAAATACACTTCTAAGTAAATAACTCAATGAGGTGTGTTAACTAAACAAACACTGTTAGTGTATACGTTCTAAGTACTGTATTACTTTACACACATTTAAAGATTTTTTTTCACACACTGTTAACATGATTGTAAGACAAAGCTCAAGGCAATACACACACAGCTTCTGTATAAATCTAAAGCTCATTGGTTAGGTTATAAAACATATTCATATGTAGTATAGTAATAATATAGGATATGGATTTATCACTTCATGGTGTGTACATGTATATCTTGGACATATCATTATGGGTGGCTATCTGTGGTTACGTTTATTTCACACATGTAATTACGTTTACATGATAAGTGTCACTGCATGCAAAATTACACTCAACCACAGATAGAGTGTAAAACACACTCAAATAGTGTATCCTGCATGTAAATTATGCACATGGTATGTTACTGTACATACAGCATCTGTGGTGGCATGTATTTTGCACATATCATTATGCAGGATGTTGCATACAGATATCTCCATGGCTATGGTACGCTAACAGCAGAAATATTTACTTTCATGGATTTTTGAAAATGTCAATACTTCACAATGTCCAAAAATAGCTGCTCTTTTTGAGATTTTTATTTTAATTGAGATCATCAGCTATGGTGGTGAATCCTACTATAGCTTCATAAAACACACAAATAATATAAAGGCAAGACTTTTTTATACCAAGTGTTTAGCGAACCAAACGTCTGCCAAATTTTTGGCCAATTAGAGTACCCACCGCCATGAAGAATTGGAAATTTCAGGAGAAAAAAATTTTCTTTATTTTTATTACGTCCACCGCTGCCTTCAAGTCTCCAAAAATAAGATATGTATGTTTTTTTCCCAAACTATATAAATTTAAAGCATTTGACCATCCCATTCTACACTGTTTAGATTCACCAAAAATGTTATTTTTATTTTCTCCTCGAAAGCCCACGAAATTCACGTCGGCAATCGGTAATTGCCGACCATATTGTCGAGCCAGAATTGCTACAGGACGGCAATTTTTTGCCGACCTAGGCCTAGATTTCTTTGCTTCAAAAACTGCTTGGAAAGTCAAAAACTTTTACTGAAACAGGCTATAGCAGACACTAAATTTCATGTACGTCGTCAAAGGAAATTGGTGGTTCATCAATAACTATTTCTGTATTTCAATCTCGCCTAGTCGTTTTGTAGGCTAGACCTAGGAATGACGCTAGCCAGCCAAGGCCTACAACATCGCCCAATTGAAGCCACGTGGGCCGCGTAGATTGTAATGCTTATCTAAATCTATTAGTTGTCTTCATTTTACAATATTATTATCATATTTAAAATGTTGTTTATCATCTAAAAACATCAAAATTCAACATATTGTAGGCCTAATCCAACCGTCCGTTTAAACGTAATCACGATTGCATCGTGACTTCACTACTGACAAGTACTGTACATGTGTGGAAATATCCCTGATAGATCATTCTGGGCATGCGCATGGACATGCATGGGCAGTTTTGAAGCAGCCTGTGATGCTGTGATGATACGATCGCAGCTTTTACGAAAGTTCCCATGCCAAAGATAACGATAAAACGAACGCTAAAACGAAAATTTATTCGGCGATTTTCTTATGTAAAGCATAATATTATACTACACTATTAAATTAATACAAGTACGACCATTCTTTCACCAGCAATATATTGATTTAAGAGAAATGAACAAAATCAAAATCTGTAGATGACGATTTAAGGTCGAGCGTTCGGAAAAATTGTAGTTTATACTATATAGGCCTAGGTAGTAAAAAATTGCAGAGGCTGCCGACCTCGGAGAATTTAAGGTCAGCAAATTTTTTCCTAATTTCATGGGCTGCCTCGATCTGGATGTTTTTGGCAAAACTACTTGCTAAATGAGAAAATCAAGGTATAAAAAAAAGTCTCGCCTAATAATCAATATTTAAATTCAGTTTTCTCAAGATATAGTAACACCACAATGGATGCATTTGGACTTCTTCACAAGATTTATCCTGGATAATCCTATCATTTAAGATTTAAGCCTTGCTTGAGGTAGATTTTTTTCACAATAAATATGTATAAATATTTGATATGGCATATCTTGCAATCCTTACTAAAAGCCAGACTTTTTTATACTTTGTTTAGCAAACTCACTTTTTCAAATAAAAATAAAATTTTACTTTTGGCCAATTAGCGCAGCCACTGCCACAAAAAATTTGAAATTTCAGAAAAAAAAGAAGTTTTTCTTTAGTTTTATTTCTCCCGCCGCCACTTTGAAATCTGCAAAAAATATAATGCATGTACAGTAGGCCTATATTTCTTCATAATTATATAAATTTAAAGCATTTAATCATGGAATCATCCCATTACATTGTTTAGATTCATCTGGATGTTGTTTGCAAAACTATTTGTTAATAATAAAACAAAATTTTATTGTATTTTTTTTTTCGCCCCCCCCCCCCTTCCCACCATTCCCACCACGATAAGTTTGCGAAACAATAATAAATCACCTAATAATCCATAGTTAAATTTAGCTTTCTCAAGATAGAATACAGTAGCACCGCAATAGATGCATCTGAATTTCTTTATAAGATTTATCCTGGACAGTCCTATAAGATTCATGCCTTGCCAGCCTAAGATAGACTTTTTTCCCTAGAAAATAAACATTTCACAATAAATGTAAATATTTGATATGGCATATCTTGCAAATCTCCTACTAAATCTTTGTTCATTTATGCTATGGTCAGTGACCTTGTAAATGCTTTTCACTAATTGTCATGGTTCACTGAACACCACAGATTTACAATACAATTAGCATATGAATGTATTCACAAGTTGCATAAGAATGTATGCTGTACATACTGTTCTTCTTTTACCTACACAATTACAAGTTTCTGAGTAGAATTGCCCAATTTTTCGTAGAAATTTATGTTGCAAGGATGTTCAGACTAAACCTTTAATTCTATCAGTTATTGAGCATTGTTCAACGCACATTTTTATATAGCTGTATTTCAAAAAATAGAATACAATTTTAAAAACAATACTAGTTTTAGTAGAAATCCATGAGAAAAACAAATAAATTAGAATAATTAATTTTGAAAAAAGTATATTGATTGGGATGAACAGGAACTCGATAATATAAAGGTATAAATATACTGTAAGGTCACAATGGCATGCTACAATGCAGTGGGTCATCTACAACTTCCTGTCTGGTAGACACGAGGAAATGTTTCACTTTCATAAAAGTCTCATAGGAAATATAAAATAACAACCATCTTTCACTTCTAGACATTAGGCCTGGTAAAGTTTTAATTAGTGTTTTAAATTACAGAATATGCACAGTGCACATGTAATCCAGGTGTGTTCTTTGCTTTCTGTTTGTTGTATGGTAATGTATTGTACACTTCTCAGAAGTGCGTTACAAACCCACCTGGTGTTAAAAGATAGGATGTTTTATTACTTTTACAATACATTATGATTATTACATTTTAGAGAATATGATTACAGAATGGCCAAGTGTCATCATTATTTAAATGCACCATATCACGTACCATCAGGTATACTCTTAATTATACACGCACACGTACTACCATGCACATGCACCGACACACACTATGATTATGTAATCATTGACCATTTATACTGGTAGAGATAAAGTTAAGTAATGCTTACTTAATGCTCGAGTATGGTCTGCATTCCTAAATCCCTTACTTCGTAACCTTTGCAGCAATATATCTGAAGTTAGCTGCTTTACAAGGTACACCGCAACACAGTATTGCTAAAGAAATAAATATAAATCATTTTAATTTAATTTACGTTTTGCAATCATAAGCATCATTATCATTTACTTTTAAGAATAAATAAAAATGATAGTCATGACAACCACTGAATAAAACTTTTGTACAGTAGGAAAATCAATTACCAACTATGATTTTATTCTAAAAATAGAGAAATCTTGACATTGATGTTCCTATTTTGTGGACTGTTGTAAATGATATATATTTTTTTATTCACTGTAATGTATTTATTTAGTTTTTTTTATTTTTCATCTTGTGTAATGTTTGCGTGTGTTACTAAATTTGGGGTTGGGTAAACCTGCTTAGTTACAGTGATTTGGTTTACTTTGGTTTCTCCAAATTTCAGGACTTTTTTGTAACTTTTCTGTTATGTACATAATGTTGTTTGAAAAATTGAATAAATAATGAAATATTAAGACTGTTGTACATATACTGCAAGTTTAAATAGTCAGCTTTTAAATAAACCGGACATACGTATTGGGTGGTGTAACTGTGATGTAATCTTTACAACAGTTACAGTTGTCTGTACAGCAATTAGCTAATAATTTATTCAGAAGATAAAGACTTATAAACAGTTGCGAGCAACAGATAAGAATACAATTAAATTACAACCAATCACAGAATCCAATGCACAGGATACTTACATTTTCATGACGTACTGTACAGATAGATAAACACCAGTTAAAAAATAATAAGAATGTCAATTGTTTATAATAAATTTTGTTGTTATACACAGTTTAAGACTTACCCTGCCAAATTCTGGCGCCCATGTGACATCAATACGGTTAGGCTCTGTTAAGTTAGGTCGTATCATGTGCGTTATGTTGACTGGTCGACTCGGTCGTCTTGGCTCAGCACCAGCTTTACTTTGTGGTAAAAATGCCTGTATTGTAACAAACACCAAATTATGTTTAAGATACACTGTATATGTTGATTTAAAAAATCAATACTCTAATTACTTACTTTGTATATTGCATTTAAGGGTATATTAGATTTCAATTGAAAATCAGAATAGGAAAAAAAATATCATGCCAATTAACATATTAACATTAACATAAACAACATGGTTTATTGTTTGCATAATTTAAGCCTTTAAATGATTTACTGGTAGTTGTTCGAGACTACAGGTTACATGGAATACATGGTCTCTATGCCCTGACTGAACTGACCCTCAAGTGAAGGAAAACTGCATTCTAGAGTAACCCAAAATTGACTTGTCAAATAAAAAAGAGGGCCAAGAGATTGTTAGGATCATTTTAAAAATGTTTCTAAAAATTGGCTATGTAAAGAGAGGGCAATTTATGTATCAACAAACATTTATTTCAATTTTGTTTACTAGTTAAATGACATTTTTTGAGTATCTGTTTTTTAATGTTTTGGGAAGTGGGTTGTTGGCCAAAAGAGTTTAAGAACTGTAAAACAATAAAATTAATAACCATAAGCAATAATTACAAATAATATTTGGTTTAAAAGTAACAAAAGAATAAAGCAAATAATTAGCCACATAATGAGAATAACATAAAACAAACAAATTTACTCACATGGAAAATAATTACAGTTGAACTTAAGTCGAATCCAAATTGCCAATAAAATATTGATTGACTTAAAATTCGACTTACAGATTGTTAAATAATGGAAAACACAACAAGTTGGCAGGTACTGTAAAATTAGATCAACTTAGAAATTATTCGACTTAGACAAAGTCGACTGTATACAAGTTTACCTGTATGTTACATTTAAAAATGTTCTTTCAGACACTTTCCTTTATTAAGTTACACATACAATTTTAAGTGATATCAAACATTATCTTTATTTGTTACATGTTGTTTGTATCTATAACGATTTCCAATTCATTATTCTGTACTTAAAAGAATTAATTAAATTACATGGGAAATTCCACAATAAGCCCGGGTCAACATACTGATATCTATGTCAATTTCCCCTTTCACCAAAGGTCAACAGGAAATGACATCACAGAATACCAAGCTGCACAGAGATAATTAGAATTAGACAGGATACAAGATAAATTACAAAAAAAAAAAAATATTTCCTCGTTAGGTAGACAGGTACAGTAGGCTTTGAAACTGTTGAACAAATTTCAGTATTTTGTGCAGTGCACAAAAACATCTTCAATAATTAATGCAATACTACACGGAATATTTAATCAGCAATACTGAGTCTGAACTACACCGCCTGTCACTAATGTAAATCTGAATAAAACATAGGCAGGCTAATATTTTCTATTTCCTGTAATAGGTATCACAACAATAATATATAGAGCTGACAGTATTGGCATGCAGTCCATGTGGTACAAGGCAGTTCTCTGTGACACACAGTGGCTGGCAGGCGGTTGGTAGTGTCACATATCACCCGTTACCAATGTATTATTTAAAATTTCAGCCTTGAACTGCATTTACTTCAGATCGCTAAAGGCGCTAAAACATTCCTTGTACCATTTTCATTGAAAAATAATCATATTGTAATTATTTCAAAGCTGAATAATAAAGAGTGACTTAAGAAAAGCTAAAAATAAGTAAGGTAACAGAATGAAAAGACAGAAGAAGCAGAGAAAATAGGAAGTATCAGTTTCTAATGTATTTAATGAAATAAAAGCCATTACAGTAGGGCAAATTATTGATTAAAATGCTAAAAGAATGATTTATTCTTGTAGTATATCTGGCATCAATTTTTAGGTGCCAACTTATATGGTACAATAATTGTAAAAATCTGATTTCAATAGGAGAAATACAATATTAAGGTATGCCTGGTAAGATATTAGATTTAAACAATTAGAAATTCAACGGTAAGACTTACAGGTAATGGACACAGTTTGTTGTTTACTTTAACACAAACACTTTGAGGAAATTTGTCATCTTGTTCACAACTTGTTTCTGCTAGACAGAACCTACAAATTAGAAGACATTATTTAGCATTGGGAAAAACCATTAATAAAAATTATATCCATATCCAGCACCATATATACTCACCAATTAAAGGATGGAACATTTAACAATTCTCTAAATAAAATGTTATATTACTGCATTGTTTTTGGGTCTGCGCAAGGTGGACCCAGAATATTTAAGTGTCCAGCGTCCTCAGTTTTTTGTACACATAAACTAGATGTTATTTCCAACAAATGTTCATGGCCCTTTTCTTAAGTTTGACCCCAGGGTGCCCCTACACCTACAAACAAAACAGAGGTTTCTGCAAGGACTGTACATTACTGCCATTACCACTCATAGGGTACGTCACATGGAATAATAAATCCCAGTCCCACTGGCTGTAAATAAACCCATGGCATTTCCTTATATTGCACATTTTCAAACTGTCGTTTTTCGATTGGAAAAACATGTTTTTTTTTCAATGGTAACATTTCTACTGGCAGAATAAAAAAGTTTTTTTAAAAACCGTAAAAAAAAACAAAAAAACTTTTTTTCTTGCCAGCAGAAACAGGTTCATAATCAGTACCAAACCTTGATTATGAAACACAGTGGTCTTATCAGTATAAACTTAGTATCAAATTATGATCACGTGCCACATTATTATCATACTATATGTGCTATGACTTCAAAAATGGATCCGTAACAAACAATGTATCCTGACTATGTAATCATTCACACATGAATGTACTCAAAAACTAGGACTAGGGCCAATTGCAATGAGAGAGGGGAAAGAAATGGCTTAGTTGTGGTGTACCTTTCATGATTTCCAATAGCAGGGTCCTATGTCTACATCAATGATACCAGGAATTTGGGATCTCACAGAAACTAGCTGGCAAATTAAGGTGACGAGGTGATTTTTAACTACTGAGTAGAATATTTCTACTCTGGAAATTTTAAGTAGGGGGTCCAATGCGAGATGGGGATGCAAGCCTTCTTTGAAGGGGAATGCACCCCTACAAACCTCCGAAAATGTGCCACTGTAGCCAGGTAAATAAAAGAATTGAAAATTATGTTTATAATCAAGTTATCTGTAGAATTTTAATTAGATTGTAATTTATTCAGATTGACTGACCTTAACTGAACTTGGACAGAATATTCTATGCGTGGGTTTGGTGTCCATGATTCCCGTATCATCTGAAGTTGCTGTGGTGTGAGGTGAAATAAAACAGTTCTTTGGACTTCTCTGTATTTTCCTGATGGCACTGCAAGGTAAGTTTAAAAGACAATATATCAGGCTGAATTCTAATATAATAATCATTAAAATCCATTCATTATTATTCTCACAGAGATACAAAAATTCTACTAACAGATTACAAATTACCAGTATTTTCAATGTTATAATTAACATTATTATTCGTACTACAGTAAAAAATTATTTTTTCGGACTGTACTACTGTACATGGTATTGTACTTTTAACCTCTAGATTTCCAAACAGTGCTGATTTTCCCTTTGGCAATTTCTGCGAGAAATATAATAATGAATTATTATGCGTTATGAATAGAATGATTATATTTTGTCTTTCTGTCTAACTGTCAAATTATTAAGTTAATTAGTGATGCCTCTTACAGTACTAGATCCTCAACTTAGGTTTTATATCCTATTTGAATGCCTTAGGTGACTTACCAAATTATTCTAGTAGTGATTGATATTCACAGACTGTTTATGAGAATCATAGACATATAGTACTCTATAGCAGAACCTACAGACTGTACCCATATCATCTGCATTGCATGCTTATGCAGCTCGATACTTCAAATAAATCAATGGTGATTACATAAAAATAGAAGAATCCAATTTTAGGAAATTACAAATATATTTTGAAGCTCAAAAGCATTAATTCAATAATTGCAGTTTTATTTTTTTAAATAATTAATAGATCAATCAATAGATATAAGGATGATGAGCTGGATGTCATCAATGGAGTTGAGAAGGCTACAGAAAAGGAGGAAATGGTGGTCAACTACATTGATGATACTAAGTAATTGGGTAGAGATTATTGTTGTTCATAATACTGCCTTCGATAAAATTTTGAATTGGCACTATATAAATATTTGTTGTTATTATTATTATTATAATAGGAGCCTACTGTACAGCCCTTTTTTCGTGCGCCTTAATTTTTCCGCAATAAAACGACGATCGCAAAACTTTAGGGTGCGCAACAATCACAAAATTCTGGATGATGAGTTTTGTCTTCAAAAGCAAGTATGCCTAGCTAGTAATAGTATAACTGTTATTCCTTCAATAAAGATTTCATGGAAACGGTCTTGCTTTTTCATGTATTATTTTTCATTCATTCAATCACATTTTAAAAGTTAAATATATAAAAGATTAACGTCATATTCTTATTCTGAAAATGTTAAGCTATTTTGGCTAGGTCAGTAGCCAGTACATCACGCTTGCATCATACTTTACACAGCCAGAGTAGGCCCAGTACCAGTGATGGTTTATTTTCCTTAAATGGAATAAACATCATTGTATTTCTTCTACAATACGGAATTCCTATTAGTTGGAAATTAACTATACACTCTCATAAAACATATCAATGTTGTTATTTCTTCTTTGTTATAAATGTTAAGCCTATCGTGCTGCTCGTGCGAGTGCCACAAATGTGAACTATTGATTTAAAAAAACTTTGTCAAGCTAGCTTTGACCTGTCGCATGTGCAAATTCTAGGCCCACTTAACATCAAAACTCGGGAAGATAGGCTACGTCTCCACATCACCTCGGGGCAATAGATTTCACTATTCCCCTCGTGAGCAGTCAATATTTGTATACCATGACCTGGCCTTGGACAGACAGTTTTGTGCAAGTGGAAGAGTACCACAACACTGATTATACGAGGCTTGCCAATAACTCATTTAATAATTAAGGGTAATTTATAAAAATGATATAGAAATCTAATTAAGCACATTCAACAATAGAACTACAGTATAGTAATCCATTCCCAGAATGGTGGGAAGGGATAGCTTTGGATAGTTGATTGACAGTATAATTAACTAATTATGCATTTTGTCAATCCTTCAATTTAATAATAAATTATAAGTCAAATATCAATTTGCATGCTTTTCACATTTAAAGAAGGTCTTATTAATATTATGAAATTAAATATAAATATTCTAATGAAATAATAATAACTACAGTTTACAGTACTGTATACTAATGAATTCTAGATTTTGTATTAATAAGTATGTTTGCAAATGCAAGGAGGATTAATTCAAGTGAATTGAGTTCAGATATTTTAAATATAAATAAGACATTAATATACACTATAGTACTGGAGACAAAACAAAAATATTATGTAAAAAATAAATTTATAAATATTCATCAAATATTTATTATATTCACCAAATATATTTATATTCACTCAAGTAAGTAAGCCCTTAACATTTAGGCTTCAGAGTGCCAGAGAGCAGTGAAAATTAATTTAATCTGCTTTTTTGGTGGCACACTATAGTATTTATAAAATATGGTTATTTTTCTTTTGTTCATGGCAAGCGCATAGAGGTAACTTTATGCTATTATCCTCTTCCAGGACTTTTAGACAACCAAAATGTTTACTGTATGTACTTTTAGTATTTTTTTTGCATCTATACTTTAACATTCACCTTTATCTAAATATTCCTATTGAAAGTTCTATTCTACAAAAACTGCTGCTACTTGCAAGATACTGTAAATGTAATGTAACTATATTTTGAAAATGGTAATTATTGCCAAGTAGAAATTATGATTCAATTATGATTTGATAATTGAAATAATAATTGTTCTGATCAATTTTATATTTTTTTCATTATTTTTTGCTAAGTTACTGTACAAATGCATCACTGAGAACTTTTGTAGAGGAATATAGGATATTCCTATTATTTATTCCTTGCGTATTACGTAATACCTAATCTGAAAGTCCAAGGGTGTAATAAATACATGGCCTTGCAGAATAACAACTTTTAGTTAAGCCAAGTTTCCATGTTTTAAATAATCATCTTTATCTAAATATTTTCTAGATTGAAAAAAAAATTCTATTGACTGTTGTTACTTGCAAGATACTGTAAATGTAAATATATTTTGAAAATGGTAATTAATGCCATGTATTATTATGATTCAATTATGATTTGAAATAATCATTCTGGTCGATTTATATATTTTTTCACTAGTTTTTGCTAAGTTGCATCACTGAGAACATTTGTCGGGGAATATAGGATATTCCTATTATTTATTCCTTGCATATTATGTAATACCTTGAGAAAAATGTCTTAATGAGAAAATCCAAGGGTGTAATAATACATGGCCTTGCAGAATAACAACCCCAAAAAAGGGCCCAAAACATTAATAATATTAATTTCTTTAAGCTTTTAGTTCTCATCAGACAGTGTTTAAGAAACAAAGAAATGTTAATATAATAATAATAATAATAATAATAATAATAATAATAATAATAATAATAATAACAATAATAATAATAATTTCTCTAAATCAGACTTAAGGGGAATATCTTTTGTGTTATTTCCCCCTTAACATCATTTTTTTAATTGTTCTCTAATTTCTCCATTGTCTAAGTTCCCCTTATGGTAGGTTTTAATAACATAATCATAATCATAATAATAACAATAATAATAACAATGATAATAATAACAATAATAATAATAATAATAGT